TCAGCCAGCCTGCTGACAGTTATTATGTTCCAGAATTGTTTCTCTTTACTTAGGGATTAAGTTATACAGACATTCTGAAAGGGTGTTGCACAATGTTGCATGGTGTGTTAATTTCGAGGTTCTTTGATATTTCCTCGACACTTATGAACCACACCCAATCAAAGCACTAAATTTCGAAAGGGTTGTCAACATCACTTTCCTCTTATAAATGGGACAGAGTTACTACTACCACGAATCAGTGAATTCCAGGGTGTTTGCCAACGCTGTTTGCTCTAAGCTATGATCTGGTGCTCCCAACGGTACTAAGTGGTCCCAATTTTTTTGTAATACTGTGCACTACGAAGTGTTATGTCCCATTCTATGCTGAAAGGATCTCTCAGGCCATCGTGCCTATCTGAGGCAGGGAAAAATAAAAACGTTTATATACGTTTGGGGCACTAGCAGTCAGCAACATGTATATATGTATATATATATTTATATATTTATACCTATATATATATATATATATATATTAATATATATTTATTTATATAAATTAGTATTTATTTTAGTATCACACTGGCCGATTCACACCTAGGCAGGGTGGGCCGAAAAGAAAAAACTTTCACATCATTCACTCCATCACTGTCTTGCCAGATGGAGTTGCTTTACACTACAGTTTTTAAACTGCAACATAACACCCCTCCTTCAGAGTCATGCACCGTAATTCCCCATATCCAGGACTCAAGTCCGGCCTTCGGTTTCCTGAAACCCCTTCATATAAATGTTACTTTGCTCACACTCCAGCAGCCACGCTTCAAGTATTAAAAACCATTTGTCTCATTCACTTAATCAAACACGCTCATGCATTACCTGCTGGAAGTCCATGACCCTCGCACACAAGACCTCCTTTTCCCCCTCTCTCCCAACCTTTCCTAGGCTGACCCCTACCCCGCCTTCCTTCCACTCAGACTGATACACTCTTGAAAAGTCAGTCTGTTTCGTCCATTCTCTCTACATGTCCGAACCCACCTCAACAACCCCCCTTCCTCATATATTTTTATATATATATATATATACTAATATATTTATATATATATATATATATATATTATATATATATATATATATGTTATCAACAAATTTTGTTGAAAAATAAGAAAAAGTTTTGGAGGGAGATTAACAAGGTAAGAAAGCCTAGAGAACAAATGGAATTTGTCAGTTAAAATTAGGGAGAGGAGAGTTATTAAATGGGAGAGTTAGAGGTATTGGAAGATGGAAGGATATTTTGAGGAATTTGTTTAAATGTTGTGAGATAGGGAAGCTGTGTGATTTCGTGTTATAGGGGAAGGAGGAAAATAACATCTTGTGGAGTGAGGGAGTCAGTTGTGAGTGTGGGGGAATGTTCGTGAGGCAGTACGGTAAAATGAAAGGGCGGTCAAGGCAGCGGGATTGATGGGATAAAGATAGAAATGTTAAAAGCCAGGTGGGATATAGTTTTGGAAGTGGTTTTGGTGCTGCAATTATTTATTTAATGTATGGAGAGTGGTAAGATACCTAGGGATTGCAGAGAGCATGCAACTAGGATCCTTTGTATAAAGGCAAAGGGGATTAAAAGAGAGTGCAAAAAAATTTATAGGGGGATAAGTCTGTTGAAGTTTTCCTGGTAAAGTGTATGGTAGAGTTATAACTGAAAGAATTAAGAGTAGACGGGAGAATAGGATAGCAGATGAAGACAAGGAAGCTTTAGGAAAGGTAGGGGTGAGTGGACAGTTGTTTCCAGTGAAACTATTAAGTGAACAGTATTTAGATAAGGCTAAAGAGGTCATTTGTGGCATTTATGGATTGGCAAAAGGGCGTATAGACAGGTTGGACTAGGGGGCAATGTGGCAGTTGTTGCTAAGTGTATGGTTGTAGGAGGTTGGTTACTGAAGGCAGTGAAGAGTTTTTACGAGGTTAGTGGGCTCTAATGTTAGAGTTATGTAGGAGAAGAGGGGTATTTTTTCCCAGTAACAGTAGGCCTTAGACAAGGTTGTGTGTTGTCACCTGTGGTTGTTTAATATATTTATAGATGGGGTTATGTAAGAGAAGTAAATGCGAAGGTTCTTGGCCAAGAGGCGTGGAGTTAAAAGATAAAGAATCACACCAAAGTGGAGTAGGTCACAGTGCTCTTTGATGATGGACACTGTGCTCTTGGGAGATTCTGATGTGTAGTTGCAGAGATTGGTGGATGAATTGGTAGGGTGTGCAAAAGAAGATAAAATTAAGGTGAATACAGGATATGAGTAATGTTATGGGAAACAAAAAGATTAGTGGTTCTGATGAAGATTGGAATATCAGATTGGAGGGAGGAGGTATGGAAGGAGGTGAACGGTATTCAGATATTTGGGAGTGGAGTGTCATCGATGGGTCTATGAAGATGAGGTGAATCATAGAATTGATGAGGGAAAAAAAAGAGTGAGTGGTGCACTTAGGGGAGTCTGTGGAGACAAAGAAACTATGTCTTGGAGGCAAAGAGGGGAATGTATGAGAGTATAGTTTTTGCAAGCTCTTATATGGTTGTGAAGCGTTTTTTTTTTGGGGGGGGGTGTTGAATGTTGCAGCGAGGAGAAGGCTGGAGGCAGTGGAGATGTCAGTCTGAGTGCAATGTGTGGTGGTGAAATATAATGCAGAAGAATTCGTAGTTTGGAAGTTAGGAGGAGGTGTCGGGGGATTACCAAAACTGTTGTCCAGAGGGTGAGGGAAGAGGTTGTTGAGGGGGGTCGGACATGTGAGAGAATGGAGCGAAAACAGAATGACTTCATAGAGTGTACAGTCTGTAGTGGAAGGAGGGGCGACGGTAGGGGTCTGGTCGAGCCTAGGAAGGGTTGGTTGGGAGGGGCGTAAGGAAGGTTTTTGTGTGCGAGGGGCTTGGACTTCCAGCAGGCATGCGTGGAGCGTTGTTGATAAGGAGTGAAATGTGGAGACAAATGGTTTTTTAATTACTTGTCGTGCTGTTGGAGTCGTGAGCAAAAGTAACTTTATGAAGGGATTCAGGGAAACCGGAGGCGGATTGACTCCTAGGAGATGGGAAGTACAGTGCTGCTCTCTGAAGGAGGGGTGTTAATGTTGCTGTTTAAAAAACTGTAGTGTAAAGCACCCTTCTGGCAAGACAGTGATGGAGTGAATGATGGGAAAGTTTTTCTTTTTCGGGGCCACCCTGCCTTGGTGGGGAATAGGCCGGTGATGATATAATTTAATATATAATAATTATATTATATATATATATATATATATACTATATATATATATATATATATATATATATATTATATATATATTTATATTATATATATATATACATATATATATGTTGGACGTTGTTCGATGTTAACACATGGAACAAAACCTAGGGTCCGATTGTATTATTATTATTATTATTATTATTGTTTTCATCATTATTTAATAGTTTTTTAAGCAATTCATCTTCTGTTAATGCTTCCCACAATACAGAAATTAATTTGATGCTTTTGTCTTTTTCTTGAAACCTGTTATTATGAACTAATATGTCTTGAGTGTTTTTCTGCTCTTGGAGCCGGGTCTTCGAGGCCAGGCACGTCAGGTGCTTCAATACTTTTAGGAGTAAAATAAATGCAACATGATTTGTGTTGGAGGAAGGAAAGGCAAATCTGAAATAATTTTGCTTGAATTATAGGCGAAATGTTTTTCCTCCCTTGGAAAAGCCGTGGCTAATACATGCTTAGTTCAGCTTTTTGTACAGACCCTTCAGGAGCAAGTGAGGAAGAAGGGGATAGAATGCAAATTGGTTTGTAAAAGTAATCGGATGGGAAATATTGATAAATTAAAATAAATATAAACAAGCTTTCTTCACCAATTATTCAAGGTACACCTTGATGCTGTGTGTGAATTTTCCGATCCAGCTGTGAAAATGAAAATATAATATTTTACGGAAGTGGAGAAGTTGCAGTCTGGATGGTACGTGAACTGTAGTAACTGTGTCACTTTTTATTAAGACTTTTTTTGAGTAAATGGAGGGTATGTAAATCTGGGTGAGGGAAACTGTAGGGTAGGGGGGGGCCCGGGGGCCCCATAGGAAAGGATTGGGAGGTTTTTGTATCCATGGGGTTTTGGGACATCAGCCTGTTGTGTGAGAGAATTTAGTAAGGACGTGATTTGAGCAAGTGGTTTTTCTGACTTGACATATGTTGGGAGTATAAGCACGGTAACATTTGTGAATGGATTCAGAGAAACCGGTTAACAGACTAGAAGTCCTGGAAATGGGAAGTACATTGCCTGCTCTCTGAAAGGAGGGGTGGTGATATTATAGTTTGGAGGGGCATCTGAATTGTAGAATGGCACACCTCTGGCAAGACAGTTGATGGGAGCGGAGTGATGGTAAAAGGGTTTCTTCTCTATTTCAGTCACACTGCTCGGTGGGAGACAACCGTATGTTATAAAATCTTTAACTTGTCCTTAAGGAGTTTATTACATATTATCAAGTAATACAGTGGTACCCCGTAAGTTTGAACTTATTTCATTCCAGATGCTGCTCGGCAGCAAGTGCCAGATACCGAACGACTTTGTTCATAGGGAACAATATGTAAATTGATTAGTCATTTTCTGACCCAAAATACATTAAAATGCACTTACCTTAACTGTTTCGAGTTGCAAGCAGTTCGAAACTTGGTGTACAACTGTACTTAAAATTTAATGTATAAACATAGTTGCTGAAATATGTGGGTAGAATATTTTTGAAGAAAATACAATGCTGAAAGTACAACATTGTATTTTTTACAGCAGACTCAAAGCATTTCACATTCAAATAAGAAATATGTCTTATTTACATTCAAGTTAAAAATGTGTCATATTCACATTCCCATTAAAAATTGTTTTATTCTCATTAAAATTAAAAAATTCTTATTCATATTCAAGTTAAAAAAATGTGTCTTATTCACATTTATATTAGAAATAAATGTCTCATTCAACTGCCTGGCTATGCATAAAGACTGCAATTAACTTACCTAGGTATAACCTCCAGAGGTGAACATGGTAAGAGAAAAATGCAGAGAGTGCCTGAGTGAGAGGTTGGTTTAGTTTAAGACCTGCAGGCACACGCTCAGCCACTCTAAGAGACCATGAACACTGCCAGCCAACAACTGTTGAGTATGACACATTGTTATGTAAATATTTATGTATTATTGTAATGAATGTAAAGTAAATATAAAATAATACAGGTTCGCCATTACAAATCCATCAATCAGTTATTTGGTTCCTTCAGTTATTCGGCACTAATTTTGGCTAGTATAATTTCAAATTTCCAGGGTCGCCACACTAACCTGCTGGTACTGTTTGGTGGCGTTACTTGCTGCATAAGTCATTCCAATTTATTTTTCTCCATTTATTGTTTTAACCTGCTTACTTTTAGCCCTAGCCATGGTTCCAATGAATAAAAGAAATGCTTCTCATTATGTAAATCACCTACACAGTACATTATCCATTAAAGATAAGATGGCTTTGAAGCCACTGTCAGTTGCTATGAGCTCAGTCTCATGATGCAGGAGAATATGCTTTATTATTAAGCTAATATCAACACTACAGCTTATTTGCCTATCACATTTGATCTAATATGACATAAGAAACAATATAAATTACATAAAACATTTAAATATACTCCAGAATGAATAATATTTGGCATAACACCGAGCAGTTCGACAGAGTTATGAAGAGGATATGGTTGTTATGGGGCTATAGGACCCAACATGTATTTATAAGTAACAGTTACTCTGGAATACCTAATTATATTGAATTGATGGGGACTTTGCTCTAAATGTCAGAAGGACTGATCAACCTTATGACTGAGGCAGCTGGGTCAAGCCTATTTTTCTCAATATAATAGGTTATACTATAGACACATAAACACACAAATTTAAATAAGTAGTTTATAAAGTTGTATTTCCTTTTGTAGAAGTAAAATTAAGGTGTGGTAGAATTGTGGTAACTGGAGAATTGTGCTTGGCAACAGTCTTTTGTTTTGGTGGGAGGAGCTTAGCCTCTTTCTCTCTCTCCCTCGCACTGACTCGGTCTCTCTGTGCTGGCTTTCAACCTGGCAGGATCTCTGGGTCCTTCTTCTATCTTTTTGGGGGATTATGTGTGCTCCAGGGGTGAGTTTTTTT